ATCTATTCTCACACGGAATCCACACTAATTACAGACACCATGACGGAAAGAGAGTTTTTTCTCCCAGTGTAATATCTTACTCACTCATTTACACCACGAAACATCAGACACATTTTCCTGACCAGGGAGCACGGATGGTCGCAAATCACTGTGCAGAGTTACTTCCCTTTGGTGCACCAGAAACCTATGAAACTGGGTTTTCGTTGTTCACTATCACTAAACCGTACTCAGGGATTTTCACACAAATAGTGGTTAGCCTATTTTCAGTTCGGGCTCTCCTCCCACGTGTAAATGTAAACGCCGTCATATTTATGAGTGAGAGAGTGAGTTGGGTTCAACGCCGCTTTAACAGTATTCCATTTATAGCCCGGCGTGTCAGCTTAATGTTTGAGGAAAGCCCGAAGTGATGCAGGTCTCAGACGTTTACCACTTTGGTGAAACCCACGAGCACGGGTATGGTGCTGACAAACCTAGACACATAATCGGGGCGAACCGGGATTCGAAGCCACATTCATAGGTTTCTGGCGTGCCCAAGGGACGCAACTCTGCACAGCGAATCGCGGCGCCTTAGACGACTGGGCCACCCGTGCCCCCTTATATTTGTGAAATAGACTTCAAGCTGCTTGATAAAAAACTCACTCACCCCAAAAAAGACTCAAAGAATAGACTGATTTTCGTATTTATTCTAAAAGAATCTCTGAATTAAATAACGTTTCTATAGAGAAAACAGTATGTACAATGTTGTATGTATAATTTAAGGATATAATTACTCATGATATGTAAATGATTTGATAGGATCATCAGAATGAAATATATCATTTCACAGGTACAGAAAAATAAAATGCGTAGATTTTCAGGCACCGATTCTACGTATCTGAATACTGGAATATGAATAGATTATAACATGAATGTCATACTGATTTACGAAACGAACGACAGAATTAAGACGTCAAAGAATTTTGACATTCAATAATTCTGACGGAAAACTCGTAACACCAGTAGGATCATCATCCGAATGTGATAGTTACAAAATGACCATCGTGCTACGAGAAATTACGGATTGTCTGTCCCGAGTGAATGAATGATGTTAATAAGGCGAGTGACTTACACCAATAATTCAGGAAGGATGGATAATCCGTAATTCCGAGTAGGTTATTCATTCTATTAATCACCGACATTTTTAAGAGAGAAAATGAAGAAAAAAACGTATGAAATGTCAACCATAGAGAAAATTTCACAATATTTCAGATGACGTAAATTAATGAATTTGTGACGTCATAAACAATGGATGACGTCATATCGCATTTTTTCTCAACAATGACGCATTGTCAATTCGTATAGATTCAACTGACCAATCAGCATTGAGAAGAGCTACAATGGACACGTGCACATATTGGACAGTTATTACACACGACCATTCACACTTACGGATAAAAGTCTCTTGTTATTATAATTTTAGGATTAGTTGTTATTTAAAACTGTTCTCTTCTATTTTGAAGCAAACAATGTCTTCTTTCGACTAGCAGCTGCAGCTGTGACGTCATAATCTGACTGATGTCATTTTACATAGACCGTCAAACATGATTCCTGTTTGTAATCAGGTGTGTCCAGAGAGACTCAGCAATGATGTAGGGTGGGGCAACCAAGTGATTCGTCATTTTACTCAGCGTTCCACGTCCGTCGGTTTGACTAATCGCGGTTAAATCCACGCCATTCGTTTGTAAATGAAAGTGTCAATTCATAATTCGCCATGTTGATATAAAAGATAAAAAAAATTTTTTTTTGTATCTTGGATATATATGTAAAAATACATAGAAACCTGTGTATATAATAAACGTATCTAAAAAACAACATTATATCTCACAACAGTGGATTTCATCTCACATTACAAAGACGACATATACCACGGCTTACATCCTTACGAATGCAAATAAAAATTATATTTTTCTTGTAAAAAAATGAATACTTTCAATTCTAAAAAAATATCATACATTATTTTCCACTCAGTGCATTGGGTATCATTGAACACCTTCCAATCAGAATAGTAAATATCATTCAACACCTTCCATTCAAAATAGTAAATATCATTCAACACCCTCCATTACTTATAGTAAATATCATTCAACGCCTTCCAATCCGAATAGTAACTATTATTCAACACCCTCCATTCAGAATAGTAAATATAATTCAACACCTTCCATTCAGAAGAGTAATTATCATTCAACACCTTCCATTCAGAATAATAAATATCATCCAACACCCTCCATTACAAATAGTAATTATCATTCAACACCCCCATTCAAAATAGTAAATATCATTCAACACCCCCATTCAAAATAGTAAATATCATCCAACACCTCCATTCAAAATAGTAAATATCATCCAACAACTTCCATTCAGAATGGGATTATCATTCAACACCTTCCATTCCGATATTAACTATCATTCAACACCTCCATTCCGAAGAGCTGATGTCATCCAATACCTTCCATTCCGATATTAATTATCATTCAACACCTCCATTCCGAATAGCTGATGTCATCGAATACCTTCCATTCAATATAGCTGAAGTCGTTCAACACCTTGAGAACGGGTGATTTCATTCAACACCTTCTGAATGAAATACCGGAGACTATAGAAGTGGTTTCCATGTTTTTCCCCCATTCGTAGTGGATAAGTTTCCCGAATTTGATAAAATGATTTGTAGATACGAGAAACTTAATAAAACACATTTACTTAAATGAAGTTTGCCTCTTTGTCCATGGAAGCAAAACGAACATTGACGATAAATGATTGACAAATCTGGCGCTGTGACTGGTGAATCTGTAAGTGATGAGATCTGAACACATGAAGGTTTCGGAATGAACACAAGTGTTTGACAGTAGTTAGTTAAAAACAACGAAAATAAACTAAACGCAACCTGCCAAAAAAATTACAAAGGTCTACAAAATGATAGAAAACTACATAATCAAACATCGGAAAAAAACCAAATCAAATAAATATTGATAACAAACTAATCCAACACAACGACTAAACACGTATACTAAAACAAAAGTTGATTTTTCTATCCTGAAAAAAGCAAACAAAACAGAAACAGTAAAAGGGAAAACATATAGAGCAGTTAATTTGACAAAAACTGCTGAGAAGTATATTCTTTATTGGTCAAAGCGTACGTCCAATCACGTCCGCATCAAAACAAATCAATACTCCCTGGTTGAGCCATACAACCAGTGATGTCAAGATGACGACGGAACTCATTTGTTGAGTCATACAACCAGTGATGTCAAGATGACGACGGTACTCATTAGTTGAGCCATACAACCAGTGATGTCAAGATGACGACGGCACTCATTGGTTGAACCGTGTAACAAGTGATGTCAAGATGACGACGGTACTCATTGGTTGAGCCATACAACCAGTGATGTCAAGATGACGACGGTACTCATTGGTTGAGCCATACAACCAGTGATGTCAAGATGACGACGGTACTCATTGGTTGAGCCATACAACCAGTGATGTCAAGATGACGACGGTACTCATTGGTTGAGCCATACAACCAGTGATGTCAAGATGACGACGGTACTCATTGGTCGAGCCATACAACCAGTGATGTCAAGATGACGACGGTACTCATTGGTTGAGCCATACAACCAGTGATGTCAAGATGACGACGGTACTCATTGGTTTAGCCATACAACCAGTGATGTCAAGATGACGACGGTACTCCCTGGTTGAGCCATACAACCAGTGATGTCAAGATGACGACGGTACTCCCTGGTTGAGCCATACAACCAGTGATGTCAAGATGACGACGGAACTCATTGGTTGAGCCATACAACCAGTGATGTCAAGATGACGACGGAACTCATTGGTTGAGCCATACAACCAGTGATGTCAAGATGACGACGGAACTCACTGGTTGAGCCATACAACCAGTGATGTCAAGATGACGACGGTACTCCCTGGTTGAGCCATACAACCAGTGATGTCAAGATGACGACGGAACTCATTGGTTGAGCCAAACAACCAGTGATGTCAAGATGACGACGGAACTCATTGGTTGAGCCATACAACCAGTGATGTCAAGATGACGACGGAACTCATTGGTTGAGCCAAACAACCAGTGATGTCAAGATGACGACGGAACTCATTGGTTGAGCCATACAACCAGTGATGTCAAGATGACGACGGTACTCCCTGGTTGAGCCATACAACCAGTGATGTCAAGATGACGACGGTACTCATTGGTTGAGCCATACAACCAGTGATGTCAAGATGACGACGGTACTCCCTGGTTGGGCCATACAACCAGTGATGTCAAGATGACGACGGTACTCCCTGGTTAAGCCGTGTAACCAGTGATGTCAAGATGACGACGGTACTCATTGGTTGAGCCATACAACCAGTGATGTCAAGATGACGACGGTACTCCCTGGTTGAGCCATACAACCAGTGATGTCAAGATGACGACGGAACTCATTGGTTGAACCGTGTAACCAGTGGCGTCGGGATTAAAGCATTACTCATCCATGATTTAAGAGCACCATCATCCAACCACTGTGGACTTTTAGAAGAAGGTGAGGTGAAATGGGGTTAATCGTCGAGTCCAAGATTATTGCACTTGTATAACGACGTGCATGCACGTGTATGTTGCTGCTTGTAGTAATCCAACTGATAATGATTTTATAGTGCTAGCCAACTGAGATACCATGTCGCAGTTTAACATGAATACCCAAATCAGACACAGTACACTCACTCCCAGCCGACCAGTCCTTGTTTTAGCCCATAGATGCCGAGCGCCTACCCTGTTGCCGATTGGCATTAAGGGGCTTAAACGAGGACTGGTAAGATCGGAGACAGTATACTGTGTCTGTGTGGGGTATTCATATTCAACGGCGGCATGGTATCTCAGTGGGCTAGCACTATAAATCGACATTAGTCCGGACTAGTACAAGCACCCCCCCCCCCCCCCCCCCCCCCCCCCCCACCTCCCACACACACACACACACACGCACGTCGATATATAAGTTCAATAGTCTTGAACGCGACCTGAAACCCCCATTGCACCTCGCCTCACCTGGGATCCAAGGAAGGCACCATACATAAGAACATTTTCATGCCTATAACAAAGAGGCGCATGCTTGGGCCATTTGTGACACATATGTAATATATGTACATAAAGCATTTGTTCGTTGGACGTATGGAGAGTGAGGTTTGATTCTGTGACTGTGACTCTCGTGTATGTCTGCTCTGTTTAATCAGACGTCGGTCAGCGGTGTACAGACACGTTCCCGAAATCTGAAGTTATGTCTTCAAGGCTCTTACGGAGCTTGGGAGAAGACTGTTGGTCGATGAATGTGAAGTTTTTCTTGGACGGAGAACACGGTGGGTCGTCAGTGTTTCTGAAAATTAAAAAAATGATAACAATAATGATAATAATGATATTGATGATGATAAACATTATACCAGTAAATCTTGTTAATTACAAATAATACAACTTGAGAGTCTTCTCAAAAGGAAAGGGTTTGGCATCTTCCCGAGGCTAGGGAGTAAACTGACTCTAACGTTATCCAGTTTCCACCCTTGCCGAACTAGGCCGGAATTTTTGGGTTGGATCGTAGCGCCACCAGTGGCTGTTACGAGTTATGTCCCTCCTATTGACCAATCAGATTCCACCTCTGATCTCACTAGCATTTGCTTCAAACAAAATGGCGGCGCTCAGTGAAGACGATAGGATCGATTATCAAGATCTATATCGTAACAAAGCGGGTCTTACTTCTAAAAGTGCAGCAGATCACGTGAGCACATTCATTAAAACCATGAAACGATTTGTAAAATATCTGTTGACGCTAAGTTGACGATACACATGCCTTGGAAATCCTGCCATCGACCGAAATCTGCACGGCAGTTGACGAAACGGATGTTGATTTCTTTACGCGAATTTGACTGGACTATGCATAGACTCGTTAGTCGAGCCAAAATATAAATCCACAATTCCAGCCTAGTTCGGCAAGGGTGGAAACTGGACTTTTGTAGTCAGTTAACTTCCTTGCTTCGTGAAAATGAGGGTTTGGGAGCACTGAAATTATATAGCAAGTTCCGCAATGTAATGAAGACTGGTTTAAACCACACTCCAATTACAAGGATGAGTAAGAATTTTTTTTTATAGCGTATAAGCAATACTCAAAAGTGACATCTTGACGTCTACGTCCAGCGCCAAGTTGCTTCCCTTTGATGTACCAGGATGTATTGGCCAAAGGGGCTTTGAACTCTTAACACGTCGACACGCTGCATCACGTTGAACTGTTAACCTACACAAAGCCAACCCATCGCGGTGTAACCACTCACCTCAGTCACTCGAGGTGTGGAGCGATGGGGTAGCCTAGTGGTTAAAGCGTTCGCTCGTCCCGCCGAAGACCCGGGTTCGATTCCCGACATGGGTACAATGTGTGAAGCCCATTTCTGGTGTCCTCCGCTGTGATATTGCTGGAATATTGCTAAAAGCGGCGTAAAACCATATTCACTCACACACTCAATACACTTACATTTGTTGAAATATCCTTCGTGGTGACAGTTCCCCTGCTGACGATAGTGAGAGGTTTCTGTGTCGGGTTGGGGTAGGGCACTTGCCGGTGAAGGAAAAGACACGGTCCCTTTTGGTGGGGGTAGAGGGGGACCTTGCGAGGTGGGTGGGACTAGAGAGTGGTGATGACGTCATCAGGACTGGGGTGGAGGCGCTGCGACAGTGATTCACTGGGGTTGGCGTCAAGGACGGGATGTTCTCCAGGTCATCGGCGCTCTTTGTGATCCTCTTTGATGGAGAGAGCTGTGGATGAACGTCAGGGCTACTTAAGTGTATTCGTATTTTGGGTGATTTGATTCGAAAGTCATACTAGGATGGACACAATAAAACACAACTGACGCAAATGATACGACAGACACAAATGATACGACAGACACAAATGATACGACAGACACAAATGATACGACAGACACACTACGGTAGGATAGACACACAACGGTACGTTAGACACACTACGGTAGGATAGACGCACTACGGTAGGATAGACACACTACGGTAGGATAGACACACTACGGTAGGATAGACACACTACGGTACGATAGACACACTACGGTACGATAGACACACTACGGTAGGATAGACACACTACGCTACGATAGACACACTACAGTACGATAGACACACTACGGTAGGATAGACACACTACGGTAGGATAGACACACAACGGTACGTTAGACACACTACGGTACCATAGACACACTACGGTACGATAGACGCACTACGGTACAATAGACACACTACGGTACGATAGACGCACTACGGTAGGATAGACACACTACGTTACGATAGACACACTACGGTACGATAGACGCACTACTGTACGACAGACACACTACGGTACGATAGACGCACTACGGTACGATAGACACACTACGGTACGACAGACACACTACGGTAGGATAGACACACTACGTTACGATAGACACACTACGTTACGATAGACACACTACGGTACGATAGACGCACTACGGTACGATAGACACACTACGGTACGATAGACACACTACGGTACGATAGACGCACTACGGTACGATAGACACACTACGTTACGATAGACACAATACGGTACGATAGACGCACTACGGTACGATAGACACACTACGGTACGATAGACGCACTACGGTACGTTAGACACACTACGTTACGTTAGACACACTACGTTACGATAGACACACTACGGTACGACAGACACACTACGATACGCTAGACACACTACGATACGACAGCCACATTACGGTTCGTTAGACACACTACGGTACGATAGACGCACTACGGAGCGACATACACTGCCCCCCCTCTAGTGATCCTTCCGGACCCCCCCCCCCCCCCCCCGCTCCTGTTCCTCAGCCTCCATCCCAAGTTTGGGACTTACCATTGCAGTTGTCCGAGGTTTCCTTCGTTGGCTCCTGACGTCATGAAGAGGTTCTTCTGAAAGTACAGATGTGAGATACATCAACTGAAGACGCTGAGAAGCTGGGAGAACAATGACTTCATTGAAGAATAGGTAGGCCTCGTCAAAAGCACGGAATTCTATTAATCGCTGGCACTTTTATCGGTCAAAAGTAATGAATATGGTCAAATGATATCCCCCCACCCCACCTTCACACACACACACCAAAAAATGAAAACATATTAACAGCTACAACCACCACCAACCCCCTCTCTCCCCCAAAATAAAAACACAACCCAAACCAAAAGACGAAAGAACAAAAAAACATACAACAAACCCACAAACAAGAAACATCACATGAACAAACAGACAAACAGAAAACACCAACTGAACAACAAACAAAAAACAAACCTCGCAAATATCCAATGACTTCAGAACATACATTTTTGAGTGAGTGAGTGAGTTGGGTTATAACGCCACTTTGGCCAATATTCGAGTTATATCGGGAGGAAATCCCGAAGTGATGCAGGTCTCAGACGTTTACCACTTTGGTGAAACCCACGAGCACGGGTATGGTACTGACAAACCGAGAAACATAATAGGTGCGAACCGGGATTCGAATCGACGAACTGCCGCACCTTAGACGACTGGGCCACCCTACATTTTAGAAGATATATATTTGTTTGTTTGTTGTTTGCACTCAGCATTATTCCAGCTATATGACGGCGGTCTGTAAATAATCGAGTCTGGACCAGACAATCCAGTGATGGACACTATGACCATCGATGTGAGCAGTTAGGATACGTTGAAATACCTCAACCAAGTCAGCTAGACTGGCCACCCGATCCCGTTAGTCGCCTCTCACGACAAGCATAGTCGCCTATATGAAAAGCATTGGTTGCTGGGGACCTATTCAAACCCGGATCTTCACAGGTTAGGAGATTTTGATGGTTACGTGGGTATCGATGTACACATTCTAAATGAAAAAGAACTTCTATTTACCTAGATTTCTCCTACACCTTTCAAAATCATTGTCTGATATAGTCACGGAAAGCAAAATATACTTTCCAAACTCTCTTTTCAACCTCTCGGTTACAAAACATTGACCCAACAGTTGTTTCAGCTCGCCGGTTTTATACTGCTCTCGTAAAGTCTCGAGTGACGCGAGAGTTGTGCACTGCATTGCTATGACAACGCTTCCGGTGTAAATGTCAGTGACCGTTCTGTGTCGTCCACATAAGTCCCTCATAGCTTTAGCCGTTTCCAGCGCGTTCTTCAACATGGTGTTCGTTTTCTTAATTTCTCTATCAAAACGTTCGTGACTTTCACGACTAGTGTCGTCTCTTCGGATTTTGCTGTAAGCCGTTTGGGCTATTATCTTTATTTTCGCTTCGACGTTTTCACAAAAACAGGGGCTTGTCGCTTTCTTCATCTGAAGTTTCTCCGACAGACCCTGTATATTATGAGCAACGTCCTGGCATTTAATCTTGATGTCGATCTGCTGACCTGAAATTAAAAATAACATCTCGAAATTATTGCACGTCTCAGTGTATCTGCGCGCGCGCGCGTGTGCGTGTGTGTGTTTGAATGCATGTTTGTGTGTGCCTGCTTGTACTAGGCAGGTTTGGTTTGGTTTGGTTTGTAGTTAAATGCCGCACTCGGCAATATTCCCGCTATATGACGGCGGTCTGTAAATAATCGAATCTGGACCAGTGATTAATATCATGAGTATCGATCCACGCAGTTGGGATCGATGACATGCATCAACCAAGTCAGCGAGCCTGACCACCCGATCCCATTAGTCCACCCTTACGACAAGCATAGTCGCCTTTTACGGCAAGCATAGTCGCCTTTTACGGCAAGCATGGGTTGCTGAAGACCAATTCTACCCCGGATCTTCACGGGTCTACTAGGCAGGACAAATGTTGGTTGTATAACAGCGACGGCTCCCTATTGTATTAAGAATCTAAGGGCAAGGACACCTACCTTTCTGATGCTTCTTCTCCGGGGAAGATCTTCCCTGCACCATCGATACAGTTCTGCAAGTATCTCGGGGACAGGAAATCGACTGCCGACGTGGCTGGACATAGACCAACTCATTATCAGCTTCCGATGTCGGCGGACGTGACGTCACTGCTTCAGTCCGAGGCTCGTGTGGAACGATATAGATGTCGTAATCATCGTTGGAACTAACCAGTTGGCCTCGTTGAGAGATGTGTGACGTGTATGGGTCACTACGGTAGGTCTGACCTCTGCCATAACCTGAAGAGTTGTACAAGAATATTCAAAATAAACTCTCCCAACATTCAGGTTAACCTGAAGAAGAAAAGCAAGCTCTACAATGTAGTTCAAAAGTTCAACGCTGATCCTGACCCGACTAGGGGACGCAACCATGTGCGTCCTGAATTGATTTAGTCAATGAGAAGCCCAGAAAGTTAAAATCGACTTACATGGTTCTGAAGTTCCGAAAAGCTGTCGGCAAGCCCCCTGTCTTCTGGCGTCTTGGTACACGCTCTGCTTTTGAAACGCAAACAGAAAACCTAATTAAGAAATTAAACATGATTAACGCTAATATAAAACGTCAACGCCAGAGAATAATCATTCTCGATTATCCGACGAAAGCGATTCCATTTGGCGCAAAAGGCAAGGTAGCTGTAAATGAATGGATCACTGAAAATCAGTGATGGCACCTGGCGTTCGTGAAAAAGGTAGCGAGTCCTGCCTTACCGGTAGCACCGGCCACATCAAACACATTAATATGATGTCATATCGTACAGGTAATACTGCCAATGCACGAGTTACTTGCTGTAACACTGGCATTGTATCCCGGGCGTCACATTCCGCCCGGACGGTTATTCGCCGTATTCTGTCGAGGATAGGAGAATGTTTTTTCTTGAGAAAGCTCGGAATTAGTGGATGTTGTTTTACGCCGCAATCGGCTTCATCAAACTATATCACGGTTGCCTGTTTTATCTTGAAAGTTGCTGCTGCTGCTACTACTACTACTACTACTACTACTGTTGCTGCTGCTGTTACTACTACTACTACCCCAACTACTACTATTGCTACAACTATAACTGCTACTGTCGTTGATGTTACTACTACTACTACCCTTGCTGCTACTACTACTGCTAATACCCTTGATGTTACTACTACTCTTGCTACTACTACTACTACTACTGTTGCTGATGCTACTACTACTACAACTACTACTATCCTGCTACTACTATTACTACTCCTACCTATGCTACAACGATGAAGGCAACGACAGCAACAACTAGTTTATTCAGAGAAAAACTGATTTCACGGATAAACATCCATGTCAGAAGGTGAAAGGTGAAAAATCCCCAAATAAACTTACCCAAGGTACTTCTACAGGTCGTTCTGCTGGGTAGGAAGCCTCGCCAATGTAGCCGCAGTAGCCGTTGTCCTTAGTGGCGTATTGCCGTTGTAGATGCTGCATCCCAACTGGACCTTCCGGTTTGGAAATTGACCGCGAGTACTTCTCCTTCTCCATCTGTTCCAGCTCGCCCTTGCTGGGAGAGTACTCGATGTTGCTCTGGCTCCTCATCGTTGGCGTTCGTTTGAGACTCGAGTTGGTCATCTGTCTGACCTCACTTCCCCTCTGGAACTGTTGTATCTGACCAACCGGCATGTCACTCCGGACATAGGTGCTCGGCCTCCAGGAATACTTCTCTGGAGAACATTGCCCAGGGACATATCTTTGAAACGGGTTCTTGGTAAATTCTCTTGGAACCATTGCAGGAACCGGGGGTCTTTCTCCGTATACGTCTCTTGTTGGTTGATAGTGCTGGCGGTCGGAGAGTCTTTGGTCACCCGGGTACCACTGAGAGTGATCCAGAAGCCTCTCGTCGTTGCATCGTGGTACCCTTTGTAGATACATCTGTCGGTCGTCGCTGGAGCACAGCCTTGAACATGCCTCCCTGGTTTCAGAAACATCGGGGAATTGGAAGATCGGGGGTTGGTCGTTATGTCGCGGGGGGTAAGGTCGGGCCTGCTGGACATCTGAGTGGACTAACGGGGACATCGGGGGCCTGGCAACGCCGTTGTCCGCCTTGACCCTTTTGGGGGACATTTGACCTCTATCTTCATCCATGGTGAAGTTGAAGCTTTTGTGAGCAGATTCCGGCTGGGGTGTTTTGGGTGCCGGGTAGGCGTGCCTGGGTGACTGGGGTGGGTTGTCGTACCTTGTTGTCATGGAAACGTTAGGGACAGAACTGTCCTCTGACAACGGACGTTTATATTTCGACTTGGGCGGATCTTGGAGCGGGAATTCTTCTCTTTGCTCTGTAAAATATTAAATTAGATTACATCCATGAATTTTTTGTACATGTATTTTATTTATAAGAATATACAGTGCTATTTTGTATGATATTCAGTGATATTATTGTGGTTTTGAAACATCAACGAAACGTCGTTAACCCGAAGTTCTTGGGAGTATGGAAAACATCGAGCTATCCCTTGTTCGAGACAATCCTTTACTCGACATCGACCTCGTCTCACCGTTGCTCGGATTCAAGTAAACATGTCCGCCTCCGCGGTCTAGTGGATAGAGCGTCTGCCAGGAGAGCGGAAGGTCGGAGGTTCGATCCCCGGCCGCCTCATACCAAAAGTCGTTAAAAGATGGTACTTGTTGTTACCCTGCCTGGCGCTCGGCATTACGGGCATAAAACTGGTCGGCTCGGAGTCAGTATACGATGTCCATGTTAAGCTACGGTTAGGTATCTCAGTGGGCTTGCACTATAAAACCGACATTAGTCCGGACTAGTGAAAGGAGACACACAGAGACACACAGAGACACATCCCATTTCACCTCACTCAAGTACGAAAGCCTATTGGGGTCAAATTTGAAATATGGAAAAGACACGAAAAGAAATTCGTTATAACCGGAAAAAGATTCGTTTTGACCCCAATAGGCTTTCGTACTCAAGTAAACCTTTGTACTTTATGCAAGTCTTTTCTTTTTGTATTACTTATTTCTTTGTGAGAGTACAGGCAATTTATGCAATTCTTGCTTACCGTCCGTGTGTTCTGCGACTACTGTCGTCACTCTCTCCAACATCACCTGGCGGGATTCTGGCGTCATACTACCAGGGATTGGTATCTCCAGCATCTGTTGCCTTGACACTACATTTGGGGAGGGGTCAGAGGGTAGCCATGGTTGTGTCTGGACATACAGAGGCCTGGTCGCCGCAGGGCGGTGGTCGAACAGAAGCCAGCTGTCTCGATGGGTTGGCTCTCTGTGTGCCTGAAGGCAAATATGGTTAGTTATTTTACTTTTGTTAATTAACATCTTTATGGGATTAGACGAATGATAGGTGGTGTTGACAGGCTGGTTTTTTTTGTGCCTGTGGTCCTGTGTCAATGCGACCCGTGAAGATCTAAATCAACCCATGCTTGTCGTAAGAGGCGACTAACGGGATCGGGTGGTCAGGCTCGCTGACGTGGTTGATGCATGTCATCCATCCCACTAGCGTGGGTCGATGATCATGATGTCAATCACTGGATTGTCTGGTTCAAACTCGATTATTTACAAACCGCCGTCATATAGTTGGAATATTGCTGAGTGCGGCGTTAAACAACAAACAAACACACAAAAGCGTACAGTGCACAGGTCACCAATCAGTTAAACGTCGGTCGCGGAGAGTAGGTGGATGGGTGACTTCGGTCCTGTCACACACAGAAGCAATGTAACACGTGCGGTGTCTCCTCAGGCAAGTGACTTTGTTCGATACTTGCCTATGTTCACTCAGCATCAATGGGTACCCGATAGGAGGACATTGTGATGTGACTGTTAACCTTCAAGCGACTCAAAGAAGCTGCTTGAGTTGTACATTCCCCAGGGAGCTGAGAGTGAAAATCGAGACCAGCGGGTTCCGTTGTCAGGTGATTCTTCATCGACAACATTTATTCCTCTGAAGTTTGTTTAGCATTTCTCAAATCAGTATTGTATTCTAAAATGCGTTTCAGGGTGGCTACACAACCCCTTTCTATAACAGTTAGGGAAAGTAGGACTATGCTTTGACCTAACATTGTTAAACGAATGAGCTGCAAATGTGGTGTTGGGATACGGAGCCTTAGTGGTGTAGTTGATAGACTGCCAGAGCTCCAGATAACTTTTTGAGCAATTGAGTTTTTACTCTAGGGTTTCTATTTTAATTGGGTTATTACATTTTTCATTGGGTAACCAATATCTTTTCACTCATCTATTCATCACTCTATTGGGGTTTTCCCAAAATTAGCGAACATTTAATGATTTTAAAAAAGTGAAATAATGTTTTAGATGTATATAACTGTTCTAAATAATTTTACTTAGGCTTGGCTGGGAAAGTAAAGTAGCTCGTAATTGTGTTTCGGAAATTAGTTCTGTTGTACGCATGCTGTTTTTATACGTTTGAGTTTTTCATTTAATCTGCATGCGTCTCTGTACGCAAGTTAATTGAAAGGTATTGGGTTTTGAATATTCTTTCGGGGTAATTTGCGCAAATATGCTACTTCTCTGTAGCTCTTGTTGGTATGTAATAGTAACGACAAGAAATTTAAAGAATGACAACTTCTTTATTCTGCTATGATGTGACGTGTCGGTATATATCCTTATACCGCTGGCATCATAATAAAAGAAGAAGTTGTCTTCCATTAAATATCTTGTCTTTACTATCGTAACAATAACGATCGGCTCGGAGTCAGAAAACACACACACACACTCGCTCACACACACTCGCTCTCTCTCTCTCTCTCTCTCACACACACACACACACACTCGCTCTCTCTCTCACACACACACACACACACTCGCTCTCTCTCTCACACACACACACACACACACGCTCGCTCACACACACACGCTCGCTCACACGCACACACACACACACACACGAACGCACGCACGTACGCACTCACACACACGAACGTACGCACACAGACACACACACGCGCGAACGCAAGCACACACACAGAGAGACACACTCTCACACATGTTGTAGATAAATGATGATTATGATGATGATCAAGTCTTTGAAAGGCATTTAGTGATACACCGAAGGAAGAGAATTTATGGATGTCAACTTCTTTATTATGAGGAACACAAAGTTTCGGGGTAAATACTTACTCCTTCATCATTCACCTGATGAAGGAGTAAGTATTTACCCCGAAACATTGTCTTCCTCATTCACCTGATGAAGGAGTAAGTATATACCCCGAAACATTGTCTTCCTCATTCACCTGATGAAGGAGTAAGTATATACCCCGAAACATTGTCTTCCTCATTCACCTGATGAAGGAGTAAGTATATACCCCGAAACATTGTCTTCCTCATTCACCTGATGAAGGAGTAAGTATTTACCCCGAAACATTGTCTTCCTCATTCACCTGATGAAGGCGTAAGTATATACCCCGAAACATTGTCTTCCTCATTCACCTGATGAAGGAGTAAGTATATACCCCGAAACATTGTCTTCCTCATTCACCTGATGAAGGAGTAAGTATTTACCCCGAAACATTGTCTTCCTCATTCACCTGATGAAGGAGTAAGTATATACCCCGAAACATTGTCTTCCTCATTCACCTGATGAAGGAGTAAGTATATACCCCGAAACATTGTCTTCCTCATTCACCTGATGAAGGAGTAAGTATATACCCCGAAACATTGTCTTCCTCATTCACCTGATGAAGGAGTAAGTATATACCCCGAAACATTGTCTTCCTCATTCACCTGATGAAGGAGTAAGTATTTACCCCGAAACATTGTCTTCCTCATTCACCTGATGAAGGAGTAAGTATATACCCCGAAACATTGTCTTCCTCATTCACCTGATGAAGGAGTAAGTATATACCCCGAAACATTGTCTTCCTCATTCACCTGATGAAGGAGTAAGTATATACCCCGAAACATTGTCTTCCTCATTCACCTGATGAAGGAGTAAGTATATACCCCGAAACATTGTCTTCCTCATTCACCTGATGAAGGAGTAAGTATATACCCCGAAACATTGTCTTCCTCATTCACCTGATGAAGGAGTAAGTATATGCCCCGAAACATTGTCTTCCTCATTCACCTGATGAAGGAGTAAGTATATACCCCGAAACATTGTCTTCCTCATTCGCCTGATGAAGGCGTAAGTATATACCCCGAAACATTGTCTTCCTCATTCACCTGATGAAGGAGTAAGTATTTACCCCGAAACATTGTCTTCCTCATTCACCTGATGAAGGCGTAAGTATATACCCCGAAACATTGTCTTCCTCATTCACCTGATGAAGGAGTAAGTATTTACCCCGAAACATTGTCTTCCTCATTCACCTGATGAAGGAGTAAGTATATACCCCGAAACATTGTCTTCCTCATTCACCTGATGAAGGAGTAAGTATTTACCCCGAAACATTGTCTTCCTCATTCACCTGATGAAGGAGTAAGCATATACTCCGAAACATTGTCTTCCTCATTCACCTGATGAAGGAGTAAGCATATACTCCGAAACATTGTCTTCCTCATTCACCTGATGAAGGAGTAAGCATATACTCCGAAACATTGTCTTCCTCATTCACCTGATGAAGGAGTAAGCATATACTCCGAAACATTGTCTTCCTCATTCACCTGATGAAGGAGTAAGTATATACCCCGAAACATTGTCTTCCTCATTCGCCTGATGAAGGCGTAAGTATATACCCCGAAACATTGTCTTCCTCATTCACCTGATGAAGGAGTAAGTATTTACCCCGAAACATTGTCTTCCTCATTCACCTGATGAAGGAGTAAGTATATACCCCGAAACATTGTCTTCCTCATTCACCTGATGAAGGAGTAAGTATATACCCCGAAACATTGTCTTCCTCATTCACCTGATGAAGGAGTAAGTATATACCCCGAAACATTGTCTTCCTCATTCACCTGATGAAGGAGTAAGTATATACCCCGAAACATTGTCTTCCGCATAATAAAGAAGTTGACATCCATAAATTCTCTGCCTTATATGATGATGATAATGATGATGATGATGTCTTCCTCATAATAAAGAAGTTGACATCCATAAATTGTCTTCCTTATATGATGATGATGATATTATGATGATGGTGACAATGACGATGTTAATATAGTATGAAATGTAATAATACATAGTTACTGTATAAGATTTTGATAATGATTTGATAATAAGCTGACGCTAAAAACGAGGATGGGATGGGGATTTCAGAGGTGAGGTGAGGTGAAATTGGGTTTAACGTCGCGTCCAAGATTATTGCACTTATATAGCGACGTGCATGCACATGTGTGTCAGTGGCTGCTTGTACTAGTCAGGACTGATGCCGATTTATAGTGCTAGATCACTGAGATACCATGCCGCAGTTTAACATGAATACCCCACTCAGACACAGTATACTGACTCCGAGCCGACCAGTCCTTATTTTAGCCCCTTATGTCGAGCGTCAGACAGGGTAACAACAAGTACCATCTTTTAACGTCTTTTGATATGACGCGGCCGGGGATCGAACCCCGGACCTTCCGCTCTCCGGGCGGACGCTCTACCACAAGACCACGGAGGCGGCACTGGGGATTTCAGAAGAATATGACAAATTGAATGCATTTCCTCGTTGAAACATGTACACATTTACTGATGATGACGACGACGATGACGACGATGATGATGATGATGACGACGATATCGATGTTAATATAGTATGAATTATAATAATACATAGTATAAGATTTTGATGATTTGATAATAAGCTGACGCTCAAAGCGAGTACGGGATGATGATGATGATGATTATGATGATGACGATTATGATGATGATGATGATGACGACGATATCGATGTTAATATAGTATGAATTATAATAATACATAGTATAAGATTTTGATGATTTGATAATAAGCTGACGCTCAAAGCGAGTACGGGATGATGATGATGATGATGATGATGATGATGATGAAGATGACACTAATGACAACATGGCACCCTACATCATCTCACCTCCGTATGAGAGGTGTCTCTGTAGACAGGCGGGACGTACCCCCGGGCCTGCTGTGGTGTTTGGGGGGTGAGAGGGGGCGTGAGGGGTGCATACAACAATCGCTGTCGACCAAACTCGGGCGCATATTCCAATACGGCGAACGGTATCTGCAATTATAAGCGGGAGAAACTACATTTCTTCATCTTATTAACCTCCAGTTACGACATCCTATTGCTCTCAGTCTCTTAGTCTCATCCCCCGGGGATTTTATATTCAATCTCCGTTGCACGCCTAATCTTTCAACACAATCTACGTAAAATTTGTTAGTTTGTTTGCTTTTTGTTTAACGCCGCACTCAGCAATATTCCAGCCATGTGGCGGCGGTCTGTCAATACAATGTTTGAAAGGCATTACTTAGAAGTTGACGGATGACAAAGTAGACAAGTTTATATGAACAATATAGATCTTTATACCGTTGCTCGACAACGGCGTAAGAATCTATACCGAAACGTCGCCTTTACAGTAAATAAAGAAGTTGTTATCCATTAATTGTGTCTTCTTTGTCGGTCTGTAAATAATCGAGTCTGGATCAGGCAATCCAGTGATTGACATCATGAGCATCGGTCTACGCAATTAGGATACGATGACATGCATCAACCAAGTCGCCTTTCACAGCAAGCATGGGTAGCTGAAGACCTATTCTAACCTGGATATTCATGTGTAGAATCATGTACAATCAAACGACAAATGTCGTCTTAATATTTCATTTGATCGATCTGGGCCACAGAGGCTATGATATATAAAAAGTTTTAAAAAAAATAAATGTTCAAGTACATGCACGCCAGCAAGCCATATTTTACGTCCGTTTCCTACATGTTCACCAGGCAAGGGAGTTAACTGACTATATAAGTCCAATCCAAGTCAGCGATTCTCTCCACCCGATCCCGTTAGTCTCCTCTAACGACAAGCATGCGTTGCTGAAGACCAGTTCTAATCTGGATATTCACGGGGCCATGTTTACTGACTTTTAAGAAAACGTGGTGTTTTGATTGAGCTATATCACAAAACCCAGCTGATCGATCCAGTCTTGACAAACCACTGATTAATAGTGTGAGCATATATCCACGCACTTGGTAACAATGGCACCCGAGAGCGATTTCTTTTCTTGTAGGCACTCACTTTCCATTGTCAGCGCCATCTTGGCCAGTGCATCCCCGCTGGTACGTCTCCTCATCTTTAACCATGATACCCGGTATGTTTGATGTTTTTTATTGGTTTGTTGTTTTACGCCGCACTCAGCAATATTCCAGCTATATAACGGCGATCTGTGAAATAATCGAGTCTGGACCAGACTATCCAGTGATTGACATCATGAGCATCGATCCACGCAATTGGGATCGATGACAAGCATCAACCAAGTCAGCGAGCCTGACCACCCGATCCCGTTAGTCGCCTTTTACGACAAGCATAGTCGCCTTTTACGGCAATCATGGGTTGCTGAAGACCTATTCTACCCCGGATCTTCACGGGTCTATACCCGGTATGTATTGCCACGAGAGCCCAGTCAAAGGGAACAGAATTTCTTAAGAATACGTTGACAGTTTTTATATGGGAATGTTTATAATTTGTCACATGTCATCCATCCGTCAGCATACAAGGACAAGTTTAGGTTTTTATCTGTGTCATTATTTGCGAAAATGACTTTTAATTATGCTAGGAGGAAATAATGAGTCAGTTGATACGGACGTTGAAAGTTACGACGACCCCGTCCTTTATACAGCCGTTGGCTGTTCCCAGGGAGTGCAAACATTTGGGCGATGTATTTTAGGACTTCTATACATCACCGTCAGTATCAACAACACCATCTACAACAGCAGCATCGTCAGTACTAACAGTACCGCCTACAACACCAGCATCGTCAGTACCAACACCGCAACCTACAGCAGCAGCAACAACTACAACACAGCATCAACGACAGCATACGGTACACACAAGAATCAATCGTCTGGATACTACAGAAATATAGACTTGCAACAACAGTGAGTGAGTGAGTTGGGTTTAACGCCGCTTTTAACATTATTCAAGTTATATCACGGCGTGTCAGCTTAATGTGGGAGGAAAGCCCGAAGTGATGCAACAATCGAATAGCGGCGCCTTAGACGACTGGGCCACCCGTGCCTCCTTGCAACAACCGACGCAACTGATGAACAACAACAACAACAACAACAACAACAACAACAACAACAACATAAAGGTATGCTGCTGCCAGTTCATTTAAAATAGTATCCTGTGTTTCCTTTATTCCCTTACCATATGTAGGTGTGCTTGCTTTATCCCTTTAACAGATGTAAGTGAGACTGCCTCCGTGGTGTAGTGGATAGACCGTCTGTCCGGAGACCGCCTCCTTGGTGGAGTGGATAGAGCGTCTGTCCGGAGACCGCCTCTGTGGTGTAGTTGATAGAGCGTCTGTCCGGAGACCGCCTCCATGGTGTAGTGGATAGAGCGTCTACCCGGAGACCGCCTCCTTGGTGGAGTGGATAGACCGTCTGTCCGGAGACCGCCTCCGTGGTGTAGTGGATAGAGTGTCTACCCGGAGACCGCCTCCATGGTGTAGCGGATAGAGTGTCTACCCGGAGACCGCCTCCTTGGTGGAGTGGATAAAGCGTCTGTCCGGAGACCGCCTCCATGGTGTAGTGGATAGACCGTCTGTCCGGAGACCGCCTCCATGGTGTAGTGGATAGAGTGTCTACCCGGAGACCGCCTCCTTGGTGGAGTGGATAGACCGTCTGTCCGGAGACCGCCTCCATGGTGTAGTGGATAGAGTGTCTACCCGGAGACCGCCTCCATGGTGTAGTGGTTAGAGTGTCTACCCGGAGACTGCCTCCGTGGTGTAGTGGATAGAGCGTCTGCCCGGAGACCGCCTCCATGGTGTAGTGGATAGAGTGTCTACCCGGAGACCGCCTCCTTGGTGGAGTGGATAGACCGTCTGTCCGGAGACCGCCTCCGTGGTGTAGTGGATAGAGTGTCTACCCGGAGACCGCCTCCGTGGTGTAGTGGATAGACCGTCTGTCCGGAGACCGCCTCCGTGGTGTAGTGGATAGAGCGTCTGCCCGGAGACCGCCTCCATGGTGTAGTGGATAGAGTGTCTACCCGGAGACTGCCTCCGTGGTGTAGTGGATAGACCGTCTGTCCGGAGACCGCCTCCATGGTGTAGTGGATAGAGCGTCTACCCGGAGACCGCCTCCGTGGTGTAGTGGATAGACCGTCTGTCCGGAGACCGCCTCCGTGGTGTAGTGGATAGAGTGTCTACCCGGAGACCGCCTCCGTGGTGTAGTGGATAGAGTGTCTACCCGGAGACCGCCTCCATGGTGTAGTGGATAGAGTGTCTACCCGGAGACTGCCTCCGTGGTGTAGTGGATAGAGCGTCTGCCCGGAGACCGCCTCCATGGTGTAGTGGATAGAGTGTCTACCCGGAGACCGCCTCCTTGGTGGAGTGGATAGACCGTCTGTCCGGAGACCGCCTCCGTGGTGTAGTGGATAGAGTGTCTACCCGGAGACCGCCTCCGTGGTGTAGTGGATAGACCGTCTGTCCGGAGACCGCCTCCATGGTGTAGTGGATAGAGTGTCTACCCGGAGACCGCCTCCGTGGTGTAGTGGATAGAGTGTCTACCCGGAGACCGCCTCCATGGTGTAGTGGATAGAGTGTCTACCCGGAGACCGCCTCCGTGGTGTAGTGGATAGAGTGTCTACCCGGAGACCGCCTCTGTGATGTAGTGGATAAAGCGTCTGTCCGGAGACCGCCTCCATGGTGTAGTGGATAGAGTGTCTACCCGGAGACCGCCTCCGTGGTGTAGTGGATAGAGTGTCTACCCGGAGACCGCCTCTGTGGTGTATCGGATAGAGCGTCTGCCCGGAGACCGCCTCTGTGGTGTATCGGATAGAGTGTCTACCCGGAGACCGCCTCCATGGTGTAGTGGATAGAGTGTCTACCCGGAGACCGCCTCTGTGGTGTATCGGATAGAGCGTCTGCCCGGAGACCGCCTCCGTGGTGTAGTGGATAGATCGTCTGCCTGGAGACCAGCTCCGTGGTGTAGTTGATAGAGCATCTGTCCGGAGACCGCCTCCGTGGTGTAGTGGATAGAGCGTCTGCCTGGAGACCAGCTCCGTGGTGTAGTGGATAGAGCGTCTGCCTGGAGACTGCCTCCGTGGTGGAGTGGATAGAGCGTCTGCCTGGAGACCAGCTCCGTGGTGTAGTGGATAGAGCGTCTGCCTGGAGACTGCCTCCATGGTGTAGTTGATAGAGCATCTGTCTGGAGACCAGCTCCGTGGTGTAGTGGATAGAGCGTCTGCCTGGAGACTGCCTCCATGGTGTAGTTGATAGAGCATCTGTGTGGAGACCAGCTCCGTGGTATAGTGGATAGAGCGTCTGCCTGGAGACTGCCTCCTTGATGTAATGGATACAGCGTCTGTACGGAGCTCGCCTCTGTGGTGTAGTGGATAGAGCGTCTGTCCGGCTGGGATCAATGCTCATAATATCAGTCACTAGTTGTCTGGTGAAGACTTGATTTTGAGTCGGTCGCCGTCATTTAGCTTGAATATCGCTGAGTGCGGCGTTAAACAACAAACAACAAACAAACAAGAAAAGAACAAACTCCAATGAACTCACATGCGCAGAGTTAATGTTAGCTTTTAATACTACATGGATAAATATTTAACATTTTTTATCTAAAACACACACAAAAATCTGTGAATATAGACGAGACCAAAATATCCGCTTCGTTCCCCACGAACAACGTATTGGGTATTAGTTTCAAATTGGCTTCTCCAAATGTTATATCGCGGTTACAATGTCAACGTGTCTCAGGTATGGGCCAGGGTCAGTGAGAGTAAAGCTTCTTCTACAGTCAACACAATTCGCCCAGTCGCGCCTCTCGTAGTCAGCGGGAGGCGTTGTAACACGCCCGCGAGACAATGTCGCCCTCAATAAATCTTGAAACTAAACATATCGATAAAACTAAAGCGCAGTTTATAGACAAATTATATGTCAGTGATAATATTTAATTCGAAATCATTTTTGTAGTATGACAATGATTTGGGGAATTTAAGGCTGATTATGTGTTATGGACATAAGTGAAATACAGCTTTGGTCTTTATGTCTTTTCTCGGCTGGAAAAATCCTATATTTTTGTTTATGAACGACTAAAATCACGCGTTTGTGGTTAGACATAATGTCACAGGCCCAATTCAACATATGTTGAAACAGGAAATTCAGTTTAAAAATTAAGCCTCGACAAGAAAACACAGTATAAAGATTATTTTTAGATGAGGAAGTTTACATGGTCGCGTTTCTGTATGTGAAGTCAATCCTATGAAAATCGTAGCTACATCAAAATCCGATTTAGATAAAAAGATCTAATAGAAAACCCCAAACCGCTGTCTTAAAATACGAGAGCATTAAATAAACAAGACCCTTGAATTTATAATAGCGACTTCCGATTGTGTCAATTTCCGGTGTTAACAGCTGCAAAGTAAGTCGCCATGGCAACCACCCTGCAAAACCAGTGCACGGTTATTTTTTTTCGCCAGAAAGTCACATTCAGTAACATACCTGTTGATCTTCCGGATCTGTCCTGGGAAATATCTGAAGAGGGTCTCGCTCAAAGTTCGGCCGGTCACCGAGGTAGAAACATGGAGCTCCGTTCTGGGCAGGGGGTTGTGTCGTCTGCTCCGGGTAATATGGCGGGAAATTGGCGGGAGAGAGGACAGTACCCACGTGGCTTTGAGACGATTCGTGACTTGCTTCCATTTGTATCGTGGGCATCAGAAAGTACTGAAAGGTGAGAAGTTTTGTAAGATAAGTGTCATCTCTAAGTGATAATGAATGTTAGGCTGGTAGGTTAAGACCTGAAGTGACATTTTTTTAAATTTCACGGATTTATTCTGCGTAAATCGCAGTATGCAGAAACTTAGACTATGTTCCCCAGGAGGGCATACACGTTGTCACTCAGCATAGAGAGCATAGACCATTGAGCATAGAACAGCTGCCTTGGCCACTAAGTCGTGTTTAATTGTTGTTCATCTCCACGTTGATATTTTCCAGCTATTTCACCATGGCCGGTAAATCATTGAAGCCGGGCCCAGTTCCACAAAGCGATCTTAGCACTACGTCCGCCAAAGTTTATGTTGACGTTTCTTAAAGAGTTAAGCTCATTTTAGCGCTAAGATCGCTTTGTGGGCCGGGGCTTTGGACTATGCTATCGAGGTAGGATCTTTCAGACCGCCTGATCCTACAGTAACTCGTTTGTCGTTTAACTCAACGTAAAGACCTCTCAGGACTAAGCAAACCATTAATAAGATGAACAACGTCCAATGCTATCGAGGTACGATGTCACGAAATAAACCTCGTCAGCGATCCTGACCATCCGACCATTCAGCCACGCTTACGCCTATTCTAACCGGAATTCCTGAGGGTTGCTTTATTTTAAGTGCAACAGTTTATACTCTGCCCTTACAAGCTGTTTCAGCACCGTTTTATTATTTTCGGACGAATTTTCGTGATGTAGTCCACACAAAAAATAAAAATAGTCTATCTTCACGTATTTAAAGTAGAACCCCAATTTTACAACAAAGAACCTTCAAAACGTTTATTAGTTACACTAACATGAGAGGGGCGTTGGAGTAGCCTCGTGGTTAAAGAGTGCTCTCTTCGCGCCTAAGGCCCGGGTTCGATTCCTCACTTTGATACACTGTGTGAAGTCCATTCCTAAGGTCCAGTTACCGTTATATTGCTGGAATGTTAAACGGCGTAAAAATCAACTCACTCACTCACTCACTCACTCACTCACTCACTTAGGGGCGATAATACACAGCCTCCCGGATGTTTTCCTTTTTAACCAAAATGTGGGTCTGAAGATTTTTGGAACAAAACAAAATTTGCGAATGGTGTTTCGATATACATGTACCTGAATTCATTTTACCAGGAACTGGCCGCACTTAAACAAACTGACCCGTGAAGATCCGGGGTAGAATAGGTCTTCAGCAACCCGTGCTTTCAGTAAACGGCGAATATGCTTGTCGTAAGAGGCTACTAACGGGATCGGGTGGTCAGACTCGCTGAATTGGTTGATGCATGTCATTGTATCCCAATTTCGTGGATCGATGCTCATTTATGTCAATCACTGGATTGTCTGGTCCAGATTCGAATATTTACAGACCGCATATTCACACAGCTGGAATATTGCTGAGTGCGGGGCTAAACAACCAACCAACCAACCAAGGTACGATAGACACACTACGGTACGATAGACACACTAAGGTACAATAGACACTCTACGGTACGATAGACACACTAAGGCACAATAGACACACTACGGTACGATAGACAGGACTCGATAGTTTACAGACCGCCGTCATATAGCTGGAATATTGCTAAATGCGGCGTTAAACAATAAACAAACAAACAAACAAACAAACAAAACTTAAACAAACTAATAACAATTGTCTGACCTTCCCGATAGTAGTTGTGTTACATAATTTACATACATAGAAAAATATACACTATATTTATAAAATGAGTCATGCAGCTAAACGGAAACTTTCACTGAACTGTGATATGGGGTGACCTCGTTGTCTTGGGCGTAGCAGTTCGCCCTGCAGAGTTGCGTCCCTTCACCGTGATCAAAATATGATCCTTGTTCGGCTATTTCGGTTATCCTTGTTTGGTTATTCGGCACAATACCCGTCCTCAGGGGATCCCACAAGGTGAAAACGTTTAAGATCGGGTTTTTCTCCTACATTAAGCTGTGTCTAAAATACTGCTGGTGGGGGCGACACACACAGCTCATTGAGATGTGGGCATATCACGTTCAACCGTCAGTAGACATTCCAACAAGAAAGAGGAGTTACCATGACGACAAAATGTGATGATAGTGATATCGATGGCAGTGATACGGAAATAATGATCATGATTATCGGAACTATCGGATTATTGTGATAACTGACACTGCTGCTGATGTGTTGATGGTTATACTAATAACAGTGTTAGCAACAGAGCTACTACTATATACTACTACTACATGTGATGCTGCTGCTACTACTACTACTACTACTACATTTCCTGCTACTACTATATTTCCTGCTACTACTAATACTGCTGCTGTTTCTGCTACTACTACTACATTTGCTGCTGCTACTACTACTATTACTACTACTACTACTACTACTGCTGCTACTGCTGCTGCTTCTGTTGCTACTTTTACTACTACAACAACTGCTGGTGTGGCTGCTGCTGCTACTACTACTACTACTATCCCGATTACCACAACTACATCTATTGCTTTGGCCACTACTGCTACTATAACTACTACAACTACATTTGCTACTACTACTACTACTACTACTACTGCTACTCCGACTACCACGACTACTACTGTTGCAGCTGCCACTACTACTACTACTACATTTGCTGCTGCTGTTTCTACTACTACTACTCCGACAACCACTACTACTACTGTTGCATCTGCCACTACTACTACTACTACTAGTTCTACTACTACTGCTGCTACTACTACTTTTTCTCCGACTACCACTGTTGCTGCTGCCACTCCTACTACTACTACTACTGTTGCTGCTTCTACTACTGCTGCTACTACTACTACTTCTACTACTACTGCTACTCCGAATACTACTTTTGCAGCTGCCACTACTACTACCAGTACTACTACTACTACTACTGCGACTACCACGACTACTACTGATGCAGCTGTCACTACTACTACTATTACTACAAATACTACTACTAGTACAACTACTACTATTACAACTGTTCTGATTATCGACTGTAATGATATCGACCTTACTATTATAAAATGTTTTTATTTTTAACAAATACCAGATACCAGAAACAATCACACTAACATAAACAAGGAACAAAAAGAATAATGATATGTATAACAATAATCATAAACCAACTATAACCATCATAATCATCCTATTCTCGTAGTGAACAACAGCCGGGGAAAAGAAAGTATACACTTGAAAGTTCACGCTTCACTAAGGGGCGGTCGGGTAGCCTAGCGGTTAAAGCGTTCGCTCGTCACGCCGAAAACCCGGGTTCGATTCCCGACATGGGTACAATATGTGAAGCCCATTTCTCGTGTCCCCCACCGTGATATTGCTGGAATATTGCTAAAAGCGGCGTAAAACCATACTCACTCACTCACGCTTCACTCAGCACATTACTGTGTACTGTGAGTGAGTGAGTGAGTGAGTGAGTATGGTTTTACGCCGCTTTTAGCAATATCCCAGCAATATCACGGCGGGGGTCACCAGAAATGGGCTTCACACATTGTACCCATGTCGGGAATCGAACCCGGGTCTTCGGCGTGACGAGCGAACGCTTTAACCAGTAGGCTACCCGACCGCCCCACTGTGTACTGTGAAATTGCGATCCCCATGACCCTTGAGACGTGTGTACGTCACCTGTTGTGAGATACTCATTGATATGATGCATATTATATCTCATTTGATACCCGTACCTTTACGTCACCATCGAAAAAAACACTCCTTGTTTGTTTAACTTTTAGGACCGCCTCCGTGGTCTAGTGGTAGAGCGTCCACCCGTAGAGCGGAAGGACCGGGGTTCGATCCCCGGCCGCGTCATACCAAAACTGGTTAAAAGATGGTACTTGTTGTTACCCTGTCTGGCGCTCGGCATTAAGGGACTAAACCGAGGACTGGTCTGCTCAAAGTCAGTTTACTGTGTCTGAGTTGGGTATTTATTTATACTGCGGCATGGTGTCTCAGTGTAAAAGCACTATAAATCGGCATCAGTCCTGACTAGTACAAGCAGCCACACACACACACACGTGCAAGCACGTCGCTTTATAAGTGCAATAATCTTGGACGCGACGTTAAACCCCATTTCACCTCACCTTGTTTAACTTTTAGCCATCATCAAACATTTGTTTAACTTTCTTTTGCCCGGCACTTTAGATATCAAAGGGCATGCAATAATTACAACGTAAAAAGACTAAATGCCTTATATAATCGAGAAAAATAACTAAACTAAACTAAACATTCTTAAATGTTCTTAAAAATTGACGAGGCCATGCGAAAATCATGTGTTTCATGAAGACAGTGTATGAGACATAGAGTGAAGACAGTGTATGAGACATAGAGTGAAGACAGTGTATGAGACATAGAGTGAAGACAGTGTATGAGACATAGAGTGAAGACAGTGTATGAGACATAGAGTGAAGACAGTGTATGAGACATAGAGTGAAGACAGTGTATGAGACATAGAGTGAAGACAGTGTATGAGACATAGAGACTTACTTGTTACAGCCACACGATTTCCATTTGCTATTTTCATGTTCATAAGACCATCCGATCTTATATAGAACCGAGTTCCCCAATTCCGATACACAAACACAATGACAGAAATAATGCCGATTATATCTATTCGTTTCGTGGAGTAATTCCATTGTGAAATTACTGCCAAGTCCGCGTCATTTGGTTTCGTGTTGTGAAAAATATTTAAAAGAAAACTTATACTCTTGCGCCACCGTCACTCGGCGTGAATTGAAACGCTCGGGAAACCCTTAATTAAAAGATTGGTGGCTGTTATGGTTCACTGTTTTTTCCCCTGCTGATTTATCCTTCATATCAGCTGCCTCGGTATAATAAATTAATTCAAATAGTTTCTAAAAGGCCCGTTATGTTGGGTTTTTTTAAAATCGGAAGGTGTTTGATGGAATATGGTTCACAGTGTTCTTGTGTTACTTTCAGCGCCTTGCTGTACAACCTATTTGCACTTGATTCACGTACATTCGCTAACAGGGGAGTTGTTTGGGGTGAATTAATATGGTTTTAGGCCGCTTTTAGCAATTTTCCAGCAAAATCACGCCGGGGGACATTAGAAATGGGCTTCACACATTGTATCCATGTTGTTTTGGTTGAAGCTGGACAACAATTGCAGGAGTAGAATTAATGATACAGTAAACAAGCTTAAAGGGACCACTAATTATAGTTGGTTATAAGCACCCTCGCCCATTGTTAAAAATGAAAGCTTTCCGCCATACTCTTGTCTCGTCGTTCTGGGTATCTTGTCACCATATCATATACAGTAAACTACGGTTATAACGAACCCAAAGGGACCACTAATTGTAATTCGTTATATACGTTGTTCGTTATAATCATATGTACAGCATATATGAAGCAATGGGACGGGACAAAAAAACTCTTCGTTACAGCCGTCGGTTCTTTAAAGGCGTGTTTGTCATAAACGTAGTTTACTGTAAATGAACACTTTAATCCGTCCTTATCTTGAAACATATTAATATTCGACCGTGAAGATCCGGGTTAGAAATGGTCTTCAGCAACCCACGCTTGTCGCAAGAGGCGACTAACGGGATCGGGTGGTCAGGCTCAGTGACTCGACTGATGCATGTCATCGTATCCCAATTGCCTTAATAGATGCTCATGATGTCAATCACTGGAATGCCTGGCCCAGACTCGATTATTTACAGGCCGCCGTCATATAGCTAGAATATTGAGGGATACGGCGTTAACAAACAAACAAACAAACAAACAAACGTAATATATTTCGCATTACTCTAATCAGTACTCGTCGTTTTAATAAATGGCATACAGCATTGCGTTTCTAGTGGCCACTCATATGCTACATGTATGAATGAAGCCTTGTGTTGACGCTACACGCTTGACTCTCTTACTTACAGGCTATCATCTTTCCAAATACGCAGGTAACGCAAAAGGCAAATAAACCCGAATAACTGGTCCCAAAACACAATCGTTATGGGTAGTAGTTCACCTACATATTCAGATGTACAACTGGTGTCAAATCCACTCGTCAAATTGTGTAACGAAATTGGATCCCCTTTTCGCGTTATATCGAGGATGATAGCTGAGGTGTCATCTGAGTAGAAGGGAAACACGGTCTAGTTGTTTCTGTCGTGAAAATGCAAAGATTATATTTTTGGAAGAGTGAATGAGTTAGCAACTTCAGTTATCTATTCAAACCAACTTCGGCTTGTAATCAAGAGTGAAGCTGCGGTGTTGGATACAGAAAACATTGCTTATGGATGGTTTTGGTTTGCGTTAAGAAGAAAGCAGTTAGAGATCGACGGAACCGTTATTATTTTGGTTGGTGTTCAAGGTTTCTTAAATATTTCACCAAGAAATGATCCTGCGTTTACAGATTACCGATTTTGGAACAGGACAACGCTATGGCACACTGGTGATGATAATACGTGGATAAAGATACTCAAGATGAACCTATGATGGGTGAAGCAGTTGCTGGTTCATGTGTTGGATGTCAGATCCGCGTTGTTACTGTTTTTACTCTGCTCTATTTTATTCTACAGAAACTGTTGTCGTGGATGTACAAATGTTCTGCCACTACCTGCGAAAGTGACGTCGCACGAGACACGAACAAGACGTTACGACGTAACAGAAGACGCGGGGATTACGTATTCTTAAAGTGTAAAGAGAGGTTACGTATCAACGTATTAACGCGGAATTAAAGGAGCTACTTTCTTGTGGATTACTGAGACGCCATGGTGTAATTTTCAATAGAATATCGTGTAACCATGGATACCAAATGGATCTGTTTGTGAAAATAAGCATTGCGCAAGGTAGGTACCTTATTTTCATTTAATAATCACTATCGAGACTGACCTTGTTAACACGCTCCCTCACATATATTATACACAATAATTATATTGATGTGTACAAACTACAGTTGGTATACACAGTCGTCGAATACATTTTGACCAATGTTCTATTGACAGACAACGATTATGTTGAAGAGCTCGGATTATAAAACGGTGTATGTTAAAAAGGGTTTGTTTTGTTTGTTGTTTAACGCCGAACTCAGCAATATTCCAGCTATATAACGGCGGTCTGTAAATAATCGTGTCTGGACAAGACAATCCAGTGATTGACATCATGAGCATCGATCCACGCAATTGGGATACGATGACATGTATCAACCAAGTCAGCGAGTCCGACCAACCGATTCGGCTAGTCGCCTCTTACGACAAGCATAGTCAACTTTTACGGCAAGCATGGGTTGCTGAAGACCTATTCTATCCCGGATCTTCTCGGGTCGTGAAAGAAGGTACGAGCTACGGTACAAAGGTAATTCGTAAAACCGAGGACAGTAGGTAAGTCAAGTGGATGAAGCGTCGCTTGTCACGACGAAATTTGATTCATCACATGGGTTCGATAATTGAATTACATTTCTGGGGACAGCCTCCGTGGTCTTGTGGTAGAGCGGAAGGTCCGGGGTTCGATCCCCGCCCGCGTCATACCAAAAGACGTTAAAAGATGGTACTTGTTGTTACCCTGTCTGGCGCTCGGCATTAAGGGGCTAATACAAGGACTGGACTGCTCGGAGTCAGTATACTGTGTCTGAGTGGGGTATTCATGTTAAACTGCAGCCTGGTATCTCAGTGAGCTAGCACTATAAATCGGCATCAGTCCGGACTAAACCAAGGACTGGTCTGCTCAAAGTCAGTTTACTGTGTCTGAGTTGGGTATTCATTTTAAACTGCGGCATGGTGTTTCAGTGTAAAAGCACTATAAATCGGCATCAGTCCTGACAAGTTCAAGCAGCCACACACACACGTGCATGCACGTCCTATATAAATGCAATAATCTTGGACGCGACGTTAAACCCCATTTCGCCTCATCACATTTCTTGAGTCCCCGTCGTGATATAACTGGAGGGTTGCTAATAGTGGCGTGAAACCATAATCACTCACAATTATGATTTTTTTTTATCGGAAGTGACGTCACCAGCTACATCTCTCTAACCACGAACTTAGCATAGATTTTCTCACGCCAGAAATCAACAGCCAATGACAATACTTTTCATGGACTCGAGTTCGGCATATACTAAATTTAATATCACAGCCTCGGCTGAACAAGATCTCGATATATTTAATCGAATCGGAAAAGTCGTAGGGCGAGGGGGATTGGAGGATCCAGACTCGATTATTTACAGACCGCCATCATACAGCTTGAATATTGCTGAGTGCGGCGTTAAACAATAACCTATGTGTGTGTGTGTGTGTGTGTGTGTGTGTGTGTGTGCGTGCGCGCGCGCGTGTGTGTGTGTTGTTTCTTGTATTCGAGGAGGCAGAAAAACTTTGAGTCTGGTGATACTGTTCGTTTGAAGCATTAAAGAGCAGTGTGTTTCAAATGAAAATAGCGGCAAATTATGCTTTTCGTTCTCCAGATGTGTAAATGCACCGAAACTCGATAACATTTTGTAATTGTCGACACACCATCATCAAATTTCCTTGAAAATTGTATTGGCATCTGAAACAAGTCGTTGTTTTAAAGTCTACAAAAGCCCTGAAAAAAACCCCATGAGTAATTGTTTTCGGAATAATGCACGTGCAGGTACCTAGAACAAAACACGATTGCAGAGGCGTGACACCTATCAGTGTACTTCCGCGCATTGTGGAATCCACAAACCAAACTAAACAGAAATCTTGTTGGCTTTGTTGCTGATATTTTTTTGAAAACCTCTTAGACATCGAGGAAAGCTGGTACAATGAGGGTGTCATGACGGTTTAATGAACAGCGTCCCAAGAAAGTTTGGCAGCCTGTTTTCTAATGAACAGCGTGCCAAGAAAGTTTGGCAGCCTTTTTTACATGTTCCGTCTTCACGCACCTTTTACGTTCTTGATTTATATTTTTCGGCAGTGAAAAGGCTCTTTAAAACGTAATAATATTCACGCCCTTTCGTTTGGAAATAAAACATAAAAATGGAAAAAAATAAGGAAAATTGTCGCAAAATTTGATGCGAGTCAACATAGCGATAAACGCGGCTGTAATGGGCCGATTATTATATTACATCATTTTGAAAAAAAAATACAGCACGCCATTGCAGTAGAGACTGAAAGTTGTTTGTTCATATAATATAACGCGAAAGCTCTTTGTTTGTCTTTTTAAACAATGGCTTTTTATTGTGAAATGTTGGTGATAGATTCACATGAATAAAAAAGGTGTTTTTACATTTTAATAAAAGAAAGCTACATGGGTTGAGATGGGATTGACCTACACAAAGAACTATTTTAAATAAGGCGTCTTTTCAAAACTTCAATGTAACTAGAAAACGACAAATTTTAGTTTATGAATCTGCACGTTGTTGCATAAAAATTGAAAGTCTTAGAACGTTCATGTAATTACAACTTAAATCAAATCGTTTTGTTAGAATTTCATTGACACTCAAGAAGAGGTGATGTTTGAATAGCGCAAAAGGAAAAAATGCCAAGTCGTTCAAACAATTCTCAGGTAGTCTTGTGAATTTATCCATCCATCTAGAAATACAAATTACACAGGCAACACACTGCTGAACATTGTCTCAAGTCGTGCCCATGCACTGAACAGGAATGATGGTGTCTAGAGTTGCCTCCCTTAGACCAGAACTGTTAGTACTATTACCCTGCCGACGTGCCTGAACTGTTAAATAAATAAAAGCTTTTTCCACCAAAATATCTCCATATTGTAAGTACGTGTCCCTTTACTATTCCAATGAAATCTAACAAGTAAATTAGGAAATCTGTGGTATTTTTTCTTGCAAAACAATTCTTTGACAAAGGAAAGTGACACAGCTTCCATTCCATTTCCTTAAAGCTGCTGCCAAACTGACCTCTGTTCGGAGGACATATTTCTTCGAATCCCAAAGTCATTCCGAGGAGGTCATGGTTTGTGAGCATCATACCGTTACTCGAGGACTTCATCGAAGTGAGACCGCCTCCGTGGTCTAATGGTAGAGCGTCCGCCCGGAGAGCCTCGTCATACCAAAAAGACGTTAAAAGATGGTACTTGTTGTTACCCTGTCTGGCGCTCGGCATTAAGGGGCTAAAACAAGGACTGGTCGGCTCGGAGTCGGTATACTGTGTCTGAGTGGGGTATTCATGTTAAACTGCGGCATGGTATCTCAGTGTGCTAGCACTATAAATCGGCATCAGTCCGGACTAGTACAAGCAGCCACACACACACACACACACATACATACACGTGCATGCACGTCGCTATATAAGTGCAATAATCTTGGACGCGACGTTAAACCCCATTTCCCCTCACCTCATCGAAGTGATGAGTGTCAGCGCCATGTCACGCTTGTATTTCTTCCAACATCGAGCTGACACGCCCAAATATACTGCAGTAATGTTTAAAGCGGCCTTAAACCAAACTGACTCGCTGTAACACGCCCAATGTGTAAGACATATTTCTATGTTGAAGCACATTAAAAGTCTGAGAACCTATCACACTCAAAGCACTGTTAAACACAATTTTCACAAAGCTTTTGTACAAATCATTCGAGAAGGACACTATTGATTAAGATTACATATTGATTAAGACATACAATCACCGAACCTGAAGGTATATTTGTATTCTTTATATTCCCTGCCAACCAAACTTTCAAACTGAAGAATATGAGAAAAAATAAATCACTTTAATCAGGTGTATAAAACGTTATTTTCAGATTAATTTCGTGGTCGTTTTACACGTATGTCCGATAAACACAAATCACCTTCACGACTTAGGTGCGAACACGGTAAACTGTGAAACAATCACACTCCAATAACCCACCTCACTGGCCCCATAGAAGGAAGACACTTATGGCCAGGTACCTCCAGAATACCTCCAATCGGAGTTAATACACGCAAGCCCAGTGTGGCAGTGTCGCAGTGTGGGGGTCTTCTCTCTCTCTCTCTCTCTCTCTCTCTCTCTCTCTCTCTCTCTGTGTGTGTGTGTGTGTGTGTGTGTACTCTCTCATTCTGTGACTATCGAGTACCACAAGATTAATTTAATTAGATGCAATTCACCAATGCAACAAAGATTTGAAGCAAAATGCATTCATTAGATACCACACACAGTATACACACACTAAAACAGTTTAACGTGACCGACTTCAATACTGCATGCAAACAAAATCCAAATCACAAAATCTTGCAACAAAATACACATATTTGTAAAGGAAAGAAATGGCTGACGTTTTCAGCAATAGCTGCTGGGGTACGCCAAGGTAATGTGCTGAGTCATGGCTTATTCAATATTTTTACACCCCGATGGCGTTTACAGATGTTCACCTTAATCACCACTGGTTTGAATGCTTCAGACATGATCAAACATTACAGATGTGCTTTATAACTGTAACGTTCCACAATCAGGCACTAAACCAAACTAAACCCAACATCGAATGTAGCTGAATTTTATATCGGATGAAATGATAACAGTTCTATTCATCATCGACGCTCATGCGTGAAAATGCCATTTTCCTCCCAGGTTGAGTCTCTGTATTTCTTGGTGAAAAAGAGCCTATGATGATATTATCGAAGGTCTGTGTATATTTCAACTAGAATAATCCTGTGGGTAGAATGACTATTTTTGCTGTAACACCTTGTAACGTTTTCAATGATTGTTCGAACAAAAACAAGTAAATTATGCAATCTGTGGCATTTGTTCTTGGTGTGGAAAATGCCTTGCAACATAACCTTCAAAGCCCCTTTCAACCGCTGATCACCGGCAACGACGACAAGCTGTTTTGTCAATTTTAACAGCTCTTACTTTCAAAAACTTCCCTGTCCTTGAGGGTCGTCGCATGGCACAATTT